TTGAGCCACATCTCCAGCCCCAGGAAACAGTTTTGAAGGGCGAACCGAACCCACTGAGTGGTGTTGGGCCTGCCTGCTTATTTATCTGTTCTTCTTGGCTTCCTAAACTGGAGGTCTGTTCTTCCCTTTGGTTAGAGACTATCTGGTTTCTCTTGGCCACTGCTGCGTGGCCTGTGGCATAGGGAACATCGAGGAGGCTAGCTTGGGACTCTGCTATTGGTTTTCCTGGTGGCTTTTATTATGTAACCTCAAATTCCCTTGTTAGTAAAAGATGAGAGATCCCCAAGTGAAAAATTCCATTTTAATAAAAGAACAGCGTTTTGGCACTAGTGAACACAGAGCAAGCAGTGGCTCATCCGCTGTGGAGGAATGAAAGGTTTCGGGTCCCATATTCACTGAGCGCTTTGAGTGTCCATACTTGAGAAAAATCATTCTTTGATGGACATATTTCTCACAATGCAATTTGATCTATCTTCACTGAGTAGTATTAGACAAGGCATAGTTTATTTCTTGATAATCCAAAAAATTAATATCAAGATCTGTGTTCATACTGTGTTATACCATCACCTCATAGGCTGTGGGGTTCCAAGGGGCCACCTGCCCCTACATGTATTGATCCCTCCTTTAGGTCATTTTTCTCTTTGTCGTTCTACCTACTGTCCTTGTCCAAGTATTACTCTTACGCATTTATTAATTTGTGGATTGTGTGGGAGTCTGAGTGCTACGTGTAAAATATAAGAGTAAGTTGGAACTGAATGAAGGCTTTGAGGGAGCCTTCTAAGTCCAGTGCAGTTTACTTAAGACTGTGAGGCTTCTGTTTAGATTTCTTAGAGACTATTTTTGGCTTGCTTCCTGGTTCTGGCTGCATTTCAGTGCCCATCACTGAGGCGTTATTTGGGGTTCATGATGAGATAACTCGGGTGTGGTCCTCATACTTGCTTCTGTTTGATCCTCACAAGACCCAGTCAGAAAGGTAGGCAGGTCCTGGTGACTTGACGACAAGGCAGGAAATCCTGCTGCATCCTTGACCACTCTGCAAAAGCAGAACAGCGATCCCTGCCCTTTGCCTGCTGTGTCTTCTCTGAGCATGAACATTTCTTTTTTCCCAGTATGAACATTTCTGCCATGAGCTGTGTTGATGGGACTAGTTGTTCATGAGATCTTTAAGTCACTTTGGGTTTCTTTTCATTAGTGATCAGAATGCTTTTTTAAAAAGAGGTTTGGGTGGAGTAGGAGGAAGCTCTCCCTACAGCCTTCCAGTTTATCATTTAGAAGTGACACAAAAGCTCTCGCCCCTTTCTGCATTAGCTGAAGCACTTTGTGGACTTCAAGTGTGGGGAACCCACTTTCAGGACTCAGAAAGATTTGCAGGCCACCGATCCTGGGTAGCAGGAGATCGTGTGGAGGCCAGTAAAGAACAGGAGCACAGAGACAAATGGGGAAATCCATCACCTAGCAGCTTTCTGTCATGCACAGCACATACCTTGGGGCTCCTAGTGTCAGAACCTCTGGGTGTTACAACAGGGTGTCACAAGGTGTAGCTGTCTTGGTCCATAGTGAGTCAACCAGGCAGCCTAGAGAGAGTACCTGTGAGGCCCAGAGACCTGAGGGCTCATGGTGTGGGCTCTGATCTTTCTGGCAGCTATGGGTGGTTCAGAGCCTTCTCCCAACCAAGTGAGAGGACTGTTAGACTCACCGTCATTCCAAGTGTGTAGACCAACTGTAAGTGCAACTGTGGAGTAGGATATTGCCCATACTTGGGGTTATTTGTCTCATGCTGCCTATGATGGGGGACAGAGGGTCTCCAGAACCAAGAGTGGACTGGATGGGGCTTACTAACACTTTGAGGTTCCTGAGGTCTCAAGCTGCCATTGACTGCCAGGGATGGGTCGCTTGGGGTCACCCCACTCTTTGCTGAACAGACTTGGCATGGACTAAAAGCTTGGTGCGATGTGAGGCACTTTCTGGCCTGCTGGCCCTGGGTGTGTGTGATCTGCCCTGTCTCGGGCAGTCACCGGGATTCCCAGGACTGGGATTAGACCCCCTCTTCAGAGCTCTGCCAATTGTGGGCCTCGTGCAGATGAGAGTGCCAAGCGAGAAATAAAGTGTGTGGGGATGAAAAGCTGCACTGAATCGCTTTCAGCCCATTGTTCATCTGGGGAGCTTAGAGGGGATAAGAGGGTAGCAGGCCCCTTTGAAATTTCCTGAGCAAGTGAATAGGAGCGCCCCATAAAGCATGAAAAGAGCCCCGGCTGTTTCTCCTCTCACAATGGCCAGCGTGGGCAGCCAGGGGCTGAGGGGCTTGGTGAGGGGGGTCAGCTGCCCTGCTGGGAGTTGGGAGGGGACAGGGCTGGGGAGGGGGACCGAGGGGGTCACAGGCAGCCTTCAATAGACTCCAGAAGGTTGGAGTTCATTAGACACAAGCCCAGGGAAGCAATCGTCTCATTTGCGACAGAACCAATTAAGTCCCAGGGGCCTTTGCAGGCAGCCTGGGTAGAAGGTGGGGCAGGGCTGGCCTGGGCTTGGTTACTGGTGAGCCGCACGCCAGGCCTGGATGTGCAGAGCAGGCAGGGGCTTCGAAAGAAATCATTGCCTTCTTCCAGGGCCTGCTGCTGACTTCGGTTTTCCCCGCTAAGTAAAAAGCCCTGTTAAAGATGGCTGGGGATTTGAGTCTCCATTATAGGCCTCTGAGAAGGCTGTTTTATGAGCCTGTCACTCAGAACCTGTATTCTTAGAAGAAATGATTGTCGAATGTTTTTTTGTTTTTTAAAATATTTTTGGAAGTTAACTGCCAGGCTTCCAGCAAAATCCTAAACCCTAATCCGTGGGGCCTTGGGGAACAGAAGGAGTGCAGGGCCGCTCCCAGGCATCAGGCGTAGGAAGACGGAGCACGGGGGGCCAAGGACATCAGAAGCAGTGGCGCTGTGCCACCCAAGTAGAGCCTGGTGTGCAGAGGTGGCAGGACTAGGAAGCTGAGCCCACGGCCGGGAGGGCTGGCTCCTCTTTCTGTGTGGAGCTGCTCCTGTCACTAAGGTCAGCCACATCTGTAGGTTGCTTCTGCTCAGAGTGTCCCCAAATCAGCACAAGATGATTTCCTCCCATTCCACACAGGGCGGCGTGATTTGTCATATTTATTTATTTATTTATTTATTTATCTTTATTCCCTTATATCTTATTTATGGGGGTTTGTTCTGGACACTGGGGAATGCATCCAAGCGGACTTCAAATATCACCTTATCTTACAAACCAGGCTTTTGATGTTGGCTGTGATCGGAGGCTGCCTCAGAGTGGCTGCCAAATGCAGATGCGCCTGGACGCGCGTGTGCAGGAGCCTGCTATTTCAAAGCCACCGGAAAAACGACATTCAGGTTAGGTCGGGCACAGCGGAGTCAAAAGGCTCAGCTAATTGGCTTGGCTTAAATGGCAGCTAAGTGGAGTCCACACTTCAAAATCTGTGCTCCCCAGAAACAGCTGGGCCTGGCAGCGGGCTCGTTAGCTAAAATGTTTATAATTAAAGGAGACTGTAGAGGGACCAGAGCGCTGGCACTCTTCAGCCCACAGTTTTGAGCAGCCAGGAAACTGATCATACACTTCTAGAGCTTGAATAAAAGGAGAGAGAGGCCCCCTCTTGGAATGAGGGACTGTTTGGGAAGAAGATTCTTGGCTGGGGGAGTTAAAGCCACATTTCCTTGAAGGTGCCTGTAAATTCCTTTGCACCTTTCCAAGCTCAAATCTCCTCTGTCTACTCTGTTCACAAGTTGCCTTTCACACATTTGGATCCTTCGCCTGCCCTGGGTGTTTGGGGAGTGGGGCAAGGTGCATTTGAAATCATTTGGTCTTCTTGCCTTCAGTCTGGCTGTCACCTGCTTCTCCTGCCACCTTCCTCTTCTCTCTTTTCTCTCTCTCTCTCTCTCTCTCTCTCTCTCTCTCTCTCTCTCTCTCTCTCTCTCTCACCTTGCATGAAGAAAGCAGAAGAGGTATAAAGCTTTACTACGGGTTTCCATCCAAAAGGAAAGCAGAGAAAAGACTGTGGTAGGGTCTGTGGGCTGCTTGATTCTTGCTCCCAAGATTGTCATGAAGAGGACTGGAACAGAGCCATCCACTCTTAGGTCTCTGAAGGTGGGGAGCTGGTCAGGAGAGGGCCATGAGCACCACCTGCAGCCCTGGACAGTGCCAGTGGATCAGGCCAGCATGTGCCTCCCCGAGGCCACTTATTTACCAAGCTGCACGCTCAGGGGCTGGAGATGCTGAAGTCAGGTCCCCACCATCTCCCTCTCCCTGGGGCTCTGTTCATCATGCGGTGAAAGGAAGGATTAATCGGTGGGATCACCTCCACCACCCACATTCCCAGACCAGGGAGTATTAAGTTGTAGAGAGGACCTTCTAGAACCTTCCTCAAATTTTCTCTTTTCTTTCAGGATGTCCAGTGACTCCTTGGGGTTTAGGAAATGGCACCACTACATTCAGACCCTCTGGAAGTTCTGCTCTTCTGGTGGGCTGGGAGTGGCATCCGGAATGATGATGGCCTTAAGGGTGGGCTGCTGAGTCATGGACACCTGTTTTGGAGTTCAGCAATGGTTTAATTTGATCCTGGGTCTAACAGCTACTGACTATGACTTCAGGCAAATTACCATTTCTGCTCACCTGTAGAATGTGTGTTCACTAAGGTTCTTTTTTTTTTTTTCCTTTTAGTACTGAGGATTGAACTCGGGGGCACTCAGCCACTGAGCCACATCCCCAGCCCTATTTTCTGTTTTATTCAGAGACAGGGTCTCGCCGAGTTGCTTCACTTTTGCTGAAGCTCGTTTTGAGCTCATGAGCCTCCTGCCTCAGCCTTCCGAGCCCTGGGATTACAGGAGTGTGCCACGGCGCCGGGCGTCATTAAGGTTCTTGAGAGAAGGAAGTCCGATGATTTGTCAGATGTTTCAGCCAGCATCTGACCCCCAGTAGGAACTCAGTTTGTGGGAGCTGATGGCCTGAGGTTGCAGTCAGTTGCCTTGGGAGGGAGTTGGTTCCTGGTCAAGCTAGGTGTGCTCACGGGAGTCCAGTCTTCTCCTGTGTCTGGCAGGCAATAAACTAGTTTCAGGTGACTCAGTAAGGTGCTAGACTTGGAGCCCTTCAAGGGCATGGTCAAGTGCAGGCCTCAGTGAGTAGCTAGCTGACTGGGAGACCTGCTTCTCATGGGCACTGGTCAGCCAGCTTGCCCCTGCCACAGCGCTCACTCTCTGCTTGCTGCCCTTTCCCCTTTCTGCGGGGAGCATGACTCACACTTGGAAGTTCTTGCCACCCCCCGCCCCCCAGTGATCCCCTTGGTGCACCCTCCAGCCCTGGTGTGGCTCGCCTCGGTGGGCCTGTTGCTCTAGTGCACTCTCCATCGTGGCCCTGTTTGTGGCCTAGGTCAGCCAACTTGGGGAAGAGCATCACTTAGGGTAAGGAGCCACAGGTACCCAGTTCCTCCTGGTGCTCCCTTGGTGTTCTCAGGCCTTGTTCATGGTCAGCACTGCTGATGCACCAAAGATGTCCTCCTTCCTTTCACCACATGATGAACAGAGCCCCAGGGAGAGGGAGATGGTGGGGACCTGACTTCAGCAGCTCCAGCCCCTGAGCGTGCAGCTTGGTAAATAAGTGGCCTCGGGGAGGCCCATAAATGGGGGGAGGCGGCACACAGAGTCAGTCCTTAACCATTCTACTGCTTTCAAGAATGAAATGAAATGCTTTTCTAAAAAGAATCATAGCAACTCTGGGTCATTGTTTAGTGTCTGCTACCTTGAGCGGAGGCTTTCTTTTTAAAAATTCTTACGTTTGCTAATGTTTTGTTCTTGTTTTTAACTAGCTTGATGGACATATGGGCCCATAATTCCTTCAGGTTGCCCTGAGGTCTCCTTTCAAGAAGGACTTCCTTGCCCAAATCATGCCCCAGTTTGTTTATGGAGCGGATGTTGGAGCCAAGGGAAATCATAGGGTGATTTATCAAAAAGACGGACTTTGGGAATGATTGAGAAGTTGACTGCTGGAGATTATGCACACCTTCTGTAATGCCTGGGTTATCCTCTGTGGGTTTGGTTCCCATCCCTCCAACCTTTTGCTCTAGCACCATGTGTAATGCACTGTTTTCCTAAATTGGAATAATAACAGGCTGTGGGGAGAACCAAAGGGGCCTGAGAATCTTCTGTTTGGGGCACCTGAAAACAGGAAAGCCTTTGCTCTGTATTGGGTTGGCTGGAGGACACACCGGTTCTGAGACAGCCGCCTGAGAAATGAACGTCCTAAGCTCCTTTCAAGTTGATGCTTCTGCATCTGCGAGGGGGCCAGATTCCCAGTGAGGATTGATGGGCAGGATTCGGAGTTGGTTTGGCAACTTGGTCTTGGGTGGCTCTTTCCCCGTGGGGACACTGATCAGGTCTGGCGGTGTGTGGCGCTCTCCTGTGGAAGTGTGTGGCCCTGTGCTCTGGTGGGGTCTCCGGACAGCATGTGTAAGTCCACGCATGTGCTGCCATGATCCCTGTGAGCCAATGGATCGTGTCCTTTTCTTTCCCTTAGCGATGGAATCCCTCCTTACCGTATGGGGAGTAAGAAACAGCTCCAGAGAGAAATGCATCGCAGTGTGAAGGCCAATGGCCAGGTGTCCCTACCTCATTTCCCGGTGAGTACAGATTTCAGGGGGGAGGTGGGGAGGTGCAGTTGTGCAGTTTTCTCCAGAGCCGAGTCCTGAAGAAAAGGATGGGAAGTGGGGTGGGGAGGTACAGGAGAGGAGGAGCTGTACTTAAGGTGCCCTAGGGGAAAGAGGGAGGAAGAGCAGGATGAGAGGCAGAACGTGGTTCTGTGGGTGTGGTGACAGTGATGTCGCGATGACGTTCAAGATGACTTATGTTTTGAATCTTTTTTACATTTTCTGAATCGCAAAAGGGAAAGTTCCCTATGAGAAAGAAACCAGATTAGCTCCTTTCCAGAAACTAAGCAATGCCAGGAGATGACTGCACGGTGAAGTCATTTGCATTCCCACGCAAATGGAAGCCTGCTGAGGGCAGGGAGTTTTGTGCACAAGGTTTCCTGAAACATAGCAGGTGCTCAGTGAACACTTGATAGAGTGCACGAATGGGGAGTTTAGAGGAATCTGCTCCTTTGGAAGGAAAGCCCTGTCCTGGGACTTCTTATTGCATTGATGCATGGCTCTGTCATTTCAGTGATCCATTTATCTATTTGGCCATTTCCCTTACTAACTTCTGAAGCCCTGGAGGACAGCTGTTCTCTTGGGCCTGTTTCAAACCTCAGAAGCTGGGTTAGTACCTGCTGATGAGTCTCTGCCAAACACATTTGAAGGAATGAAGTGTTTGGAGGTGAGGGTCCCATGAGCAACTTCTTCCTATGATTAAGGTAGTGGGTAAAGGATTTCTCTGGAACCTTCCTTTTATTTACATGTCCCTGAAAGTAGTTGGTACATGGCCCCCTGAACTCCAGAGCTACCCCTTAAGCAGCCCATTTCAGGGATATGCTTCTCAGAATGTCCTGAGATCCAGGATGCAAGGACACCCTTCCTCAGGGAAGGGAGGAGAGCACCCAGCTTATAGCAGGTATCTGCCGGCTTCAGAGTCCAGTTGGTCTGTCTGGCTATGTGGTATTTAGGAAATTAACACATCCAGTGCTAATCCTATGTTGCATCAGTGCAGACCACAGCTCTCCTCTGAACACTTGTCACAGACAAGGGCAGGCTTACCTTGTCTTCAAATCAGAACACTTAATTAATTGGGGTGGGGGGCGGGTGTGCTCCAGAATTCCCTTTTTGCCCATGCAGTAATGTGGATGACAGATATTTCTGACTGGGGTGGTGGTGGCATGTATGTTAACAATGGAAAGTTCTCTTGTCCAGGCTTGTAAATTAGATGATTTTGTCCTGGGGTGTGCAAATCGACTTCTTCCACCGGGCCTTACTCTGATGGGGGCTGGGCTGCGTGGAGCCCGCCTTGGAGAGAATGGCCATCTACCCGGGGCCTTTCAGGTTTCCGAAGCTAAGTGGTTGCCGTGGCAAGGCCCGTGTCTTCAGCTGGGGAGATGCTGGCCTTTTTTTGCAAGTTGGCATTCTGCTCCCCCACCCCAAAGAAGCCGGCAGAGCAAGAGGGAGATGAGGAAGAAGGGGTTAGAACAAGTGGAGAGGTGGGGGGTGTGGTGGGGGGGGAGCAAGATGACAGAAAAAGGACAGAAAGCTGGGCGGTGGGGGTCCTCTCTGTTTGCTGCTTTTGGCAGGCGTTCTCGGTGCCTTTTTATATTCTGCACTTGATTTGGAGATGTTCCCTTTTCCCTTGATAGATCAGCTTCAGGCAGCCGAGCTCAGCAGTGTTCTGCTCCTCGCCTGCAGCAGCTTTCTTCATTTTCTGTACAAAGAGATAGGGAGGAGGGGAGGAGAAAAACGGGGAGATCCAGGACAGTGTGGAGACAACACCACCTCAAAGGTGCGCAGTGTGCGGCCAGGAAATAAATTACCACTTCTTCTCTGATCTGGGGCGGTTGGACTCTTTTTCCCCTCTTCCTCCCCCCACCTCCTTTCCAATCTTACTTTTCTAATTTCCAGCTCCCTTTCTGTTTAGCCTCTACTTTTTATTCCTTGAGTTGGTTTCTCTCCCCTCCCCACCTCAGAGGCCTGCTTTTTTTTTTTTTTTTTTTTTGATGTTTGACAACAGTCTTTGAAGATTTTCTACTTCAGAGTAGCTACTGATGGGCTGGTTGTACTACAGAGAGAACAAGCAGGGCCTCTCGGAGTGCGACCAACTGCTCCTGCCCAAGGCAAACGCTGGTGGGGACCATGGCTCTCCATGAGGCCGCGGCGCCCGCACATAAAAATCCCGAGCAGCCCAGGCCGCCTCGCCAATCGCTCTCCACCCAGACGTGGGGACGAGGCGCTTCCCTGGCCCCGCTGCGGCCAGGGCCCGCCGCCAGTGCCCTCCCGGCCGCTAAGCGTGCCTGTCCCTTCCCCCGCCTCCTTAGAGAACCCACCGCCTGCCCAAGGAGATGACGCCCGTGGAACCTGCCGCCTTCGCGGCTGAGCTCATCTCGAGGCTGGAGAAGCTGAAGCTGGAGCTGGAGAGCCGCCACAGCCTGGAGGAGAGGCTGCAGCAGATCCGCGAGGTAGCGCCCCTCCGTGTGCGCAAGCGTGGCGCCCCGTGTGGGTGAGAACCTGAGCCTGGGGCCCCACCTGCCACCTGGGTCACCTCCCCTCTGCTGCCTCCCCTTCCAGGACGAAGAGAAGGAGGGGTCCGAGCAGGCGCTGAGCTCGCGGGAGGGGGCGCCTGCCCAGCACCCCCTGTCCCTCCTGCCCTCTGGCAGCTACGAGGAAGACCCGCAGACGATTCTGGACGACCACCTGTCTAGAGTCCTCAAGACCCCTGGCTGCCAGTCACCCGGCATGGGCCGCTACAGCCCGCGCTCCCGCTCCCCCGACCTCCACCACCACCACCACCACCACCAGCAGTACCACTCCCTCCTCCCGCCCGGGGGCAAGCTGCCCCCCATCGCTGCCTGCCCACTGGTCGGCAGCAAGGGCTTCACAACCAAACAGACGACGAAGCACGTCCACCACCACTACATCCATCACCATGCCATCCCCAAGACCAAGGAGGAGATCGAGGCAGAGGCCACACAGAGGGTGCGCTGCTTCTGCCCTGGGGGCACCGAGTATTACTGCTACGCAAAATGCAAGAGCCACCCCAAGGCCCCAGAGCCCATCCCCGGGGAGCAGTTTGGGTGAGTGTCAGGAGTCCAGCATGTCCTAGGTGGAGCTTCCCTGTCAGCCCAGGCACTGGACGGGTAGGAAGTGGGGTCCAAGGTCCTGGGCACTTGGCTTCTGGGAGGTGGGCAGAGGCGCTGCAGGGTGGCAGGTGGCAGGTGCCTGGGCGGTCTTTCCTCCTCGCACTCCATCTGCTGACTGCCTGGTGCAGAGTCCTGGAGACTTAACTGGCTGGCTGGGTTGAGTGTGGCTCTTGGTTCCCCACAGTGGCAGCAGAGGCAGTACCTTGCCCAAACGAACCGGGAAAGGCACGGAGCCGGGCCTGGCCCTGCCCTCCAGAGAAGGAGGGGCCCCTGGAGGAGCTGGGGCCTTGCAGCTTCCTGGGGAGGAAGGAGACAGGTCGCAGGATGTCTGGCAGTGGATGCTGGAGAGTGAGCGGCAGAGCAAGCCCAAGCCCCATAGGTAAACACGGGCAGCCGCCTCCGTGCGGAGGTATTGTGGGGATGGCTATTTTTGAAGTGGGGAAAACAAATGTGACTGTTTGCTCCTGCCCTCTTAATATTAGACATTGGACTGGGCAGACCACAAAAATGTCATGTTTTGGCAATGACCTGTGTTGGTGTTATGGTAGAGTTATTTTCTTCTTCTCCCTCTCAGCAGAATACACAAGTCTCTGTTGAAGTCACATTTTCCAGTTTTTCTAACCTAATTTCTCTTTTTTTCTTTCTTATTCCTTGCTTAGTGCCCAAAGCACAAAAAAGGCCTACCCACCGGAGTCTGCCCGTGGGTCCTCAGGTGAACGAGTCAGCCGGCACCATCTGTGGGGTGGCAGCGGGCACCCCCGGCCGGCTCCCCGCCCCCACCCCTTTACCCAGGACCCTGCCATGCCTCCCCTGACACCACCCAACACCCTGGCACAGCTAGAGGAGGCCTGCCGCAGGCTGGCAGAGGTGTCCAAGCCCCCAAAGCAGAGGTGAGTGCAGGGGCCCTTGGAGGTTGAGGCAGGGGTTGGGTTTTGAGGTGGAGACGTGGCCTGTTGCTGATGGGAGGGCCCTCCTGTCGGGGGAGAGATGGCTTGGGGCTGAGTAAGAGCCTCCTTTCTACCCTCTAGAAATTACTGGTTTAGCTATGATCATTCTGCCAGTTAGAGCAGGATCTGTTTGCTGGGCAAGTCACACCTGGGAGCGGGAGGGTGAGTTTCAGCATCTCCTTACAAATCCCACTCCTTATGAGTGTCTCCTGATCATTAAGGTGGGACAGATGAACGTGTAAGTAGCCACGACTAGTCCTGTCCTGGGCTCCCTGGGGTTCAGGATGGCTGTTCTGAGAGACATGGCAGGCCTCCTGTAGCCCCTGTTAACATAGGGCCCTGGCTGGGTCTCACAGGGATGGAGGTGGGCACATGTTTCTTCAGGAGGCCAAGGAGAGTAATTTTCTCTCTGTTTTCAATTGCCCTGGGGACAGCTGTGCATCTCATAATGCCTTTGCCCTGGCTGTGTCCTTAGGTGCTGTGTGGCCAGTCAGCAGAGAGACAGGAACCACTTGGCCACTGGTCAGGCAGGAGCCATGCCCTTCTCCAACCCAAGCCTGGCTCCAGAAGAGTGAGTGTCTTTACCCGGCATTACTGAGATGTGCTGAGTGGCTTTCATTTCCGGGTACTTGTTATCTGGAATTACTTTTTTTTTTTTTTTTGTACTGGGGATTAAACCCAGGGGTGCTTAACCACTGAGCGATAGCCCCAGCCCTTTTTACTTTTTGAGACAGGGTCTCATTATTAATGAGAGTTGCTTAGGGCCTCGCTAAGTTACTGAGGCTGACCTCAAACTTGGAATCTTCCTGCCTCAGCCTCTCAAGTCGTGGGTTTACAGGTGTGTACCACTACCATGTCCAGCTGGTACTTTTTTGTAAAACTCTTTTCAGCACATAAAATCATCTTGATTTTAACACCAGTGATGAGCAACAGTAAATGTCGATGTGGCACTCAGTGAGGATCCCGGAAAACATGTCAGTACTCAGAACTGCATCACAACACAGGTTTTCTGGGCCTCCTAGGAATGAGCAGCCCGGACCTGAAGCCCTTAGCTCATGGGTAGCAGCAAAGTTGTCCCGTTGAACTGTAAGTTAGAGGTATGAGAAGCACCTCGCGTCACCCCTGAGCACGAGGGAGGTTCTCTGCTGTTGCAGACAACTGACAAGAGCATCTTTTTGTTTTATGTGGTCTTCTCCAGATTGAGCCGTGATCCTTTTCAATAAGAGTAGAAGGAGAAGTCTGGCCCAGTTTAATTATAGGATGGGCATTTAAAACGGTCTGAAGTTTTATTTCTTAGACTTCTTCATCCTGAGCAGTGGGCATTTGAAGTCCTGAATAAGTCGTCTTCCTGGACACACCCATTGTTGTCATTGGTTGGCCTTACGGCTACCAGCTGTCTGGCACCAGCAGCCTATCATCAGTGTCATTGTTGTTGTTGTTGTTGTTACTTTTTAAATTACAAAACCTCGGGATAACTGGGATTGCTGAAATGACTGGGCTACCTTAGTTGTGTTTTTTCTGTCAGAACGCTAGGTGGGCTTCAGGTGGAAGCCGCCCCTGGAGGTTCACCTCCCAGCATTCCCTAATGGGGATGAGCCTAGTAGCTCCAGTTCTTTCTCCTCTCTCTTGCCTTATTGGCAAACCCCCCATTTGCACTAACCTGCATGGAGTCCCTCCATGTGGCATTGAGGAAGATGATACCAATTTTACAGCTGGACGGTAAACCTCCTTCCCTGCATGCTCTGTGCAGATCATGTGATTCTGGACTGTGTGTCCACCAGAGGTGGCCACCTCTGACAGGAGGGCCCTGTGCTCCGGCCTCAGTGTCAGGACACCCTGTCCTGCCTCGGTATGCGTGGCGTGTCTTTAAACGTGTGTCTGTTTTGAGATGCTAAACTTTCTGCACTTCGTCTTATTTTCAGTCACAAAGAGCCAAAGAAACTGGCAGGAGTCCACGCGCTCCAGGCCAGTGAGTTGGTCGTTACTTACTTTTTCTGTGGAGAAGAAATCCCGTACAGGAGGATGCTGAAGGCTCAGAGCTTGACCCTGGGCCACTTTAAAGAGCAGCTCAGCAAGAAGGGAAATTATAGGTAAGAGTCCTGTGGCTTTTTTTGCTCTAGAGTTTGTTTGCTCAGAACCCAGAGCCAGAGGCTGGAGCAGCTGCCCTGGCCTGGGCAGGCCTGGGCGGGGCTGGAGGGACGGGCTCAGAGGGAGGCCCTTCCAGGGGTGCTGGCTTTTTGGTTCCTTCTCTCTCTCCCTCTCTCCCTCTCTCTCTCTCTCTCTCTCTCTCTCTCTCTCTCTC